AAAACAACCCAACTGCTGGGTCAAAACAACCCAACGCCTGGGTCAAAACAACCCAACTGCTGGGTCAAAACAACCCAACGCCTGGGTCAAAACAACCCAACTGCTGGGTCAAAACAACCCAACGCCTGGGTCAAAACAACCCAACTGCTGGGTCAAAACAACCCAATAGCTGGGTTTGTCCCTTTTTAACCCAGCATTTTTTAGAGTGTATGTGAAATTTTGCTCACATGGTTAAGAAGAAATATTATTTTGAAAATTTCCCTTCACTGGGGAAATTGTGGGATTAAATAGGTTAATTCATGAACAGACTGAACAAGGAACAAATATCAGATTTGCGTCAAAAATCAGATATTCTTAGGAAGAGCAACATAAAAGCGTTGGCAGCATATTTTAAGATTTAAAAACCATCCTGATCCAGCTGCTGGTCAAACAATTAAACATTCTTTAGGTTGTTGCTATATTTGCTCAGATTTTTCCACCCCCAGGTAATGCGAGGACACATGCCAAAGTGTTTATCAAAAGACAACTGACACAACAAGTTTCTGGGTCACGGTACTTCCTGCAGCCTCAGCATGACATTTGCTGTAAAAGCAACAGTTGTTTGGATCACATCACACATCACAAGATCAAACTGATGACGACAGACAAGAAGGTGCAATAGACTCAATATCTTTTTATTGTCTTAAAAATAATTCCATCTAACTATTAAAGAGCCATATCTCTGTAATGCTTGTGTACCTGTTTGAGAGACAAACAACACTGATGCAAACTGTACACTGAAAAATCTGCACCCAAAAACAGATTGGAGAGAACAGAAGTAGTAAAAGGAAATAAAAGTATGTACATAAAGTTTGTGCACACACAACCAGTAGAAACGTAGGCCTCCTGGGTAACAAACAGTGCTCCCCGTCCTCCATGTCTAATGGCACTTTGGTGTGCATTATCTTCAACAGACTACTTCACACACTCAGGGGAAACGAGACAGAAAGGTATCATTTAGTTTAGAGGTAAAGGATAATTAGTGGTTATGTATGAAAGCTTTTACCACTGTGGGACAAAAATATAATAGCGTTTTTTTTTAATTCAGAAAAAAACGTCTGAATTGTAAGACATAAACTCGTAAGTAACTTTATATATTTATGTTTATTTATTTAATATCTCTCAAGTTTATATCTAACAATTCTGACGAGAAATAAATTCTAATTTCACGTCTTACAATTTTTAATTTATATCTCGAAATTCTGTTTTTTATTTCCACCACGGAATAAAAAAATTAATTCCAACTTCTCCAATAAAGTAATTTCAAAATCTCACAATTATTACTTTTTCCTCACAATTGCAAGTATATAAATCTCAAGTCTGACTTTATATCTCGCATTTCCGATTTCTTTCCCCTCAGATGTGCCAGAAAAAAATGCAGAATTGTGACAAAGTAAGCTTTCATAGTTATGTCATAACCACCATGCATGAAAAATGTATTTCATACGCTAAGTTATAATAGAACAAAAACAGAAGTCTATTAAACATTTGGCCCTGCTGTATCTTGCTTTTCAGTCTATATCTTGTCGTAGAAAGACAGAAGAGGAATAAAGAACTGCTAATTTTAGTTCTTGCTTTGGCTGAGACTATAGAAGGAAGTTAGAATTCAGTCTATAATTATTATAACCTTTCCTTCTCGGCTTTTATTATTATATGTAACTTGAAACTTGAAAAAGAAAAATATGTCTGCTATGGAAAAAAAAAAACAAATTTCAAAGAAGGATGCTGGCAAACCTGCTCTGGGTCACAGCTGCAACCTAGAAGACCATATTAAACTTCCTTTTTATTCAGAAGAAAATACAATGTGAGGTGAGGGAGCACTGTTTAAAGTGAACAAAGAATGAAAACAAAATCTTCAAGTTTAAAACAACAGGCACAAAAAAAAAGACAAGAAAGCCCATCTAACAGACTCCTTTCAGGACCAGACAGAGCATGTCTGAAAATACATCTTCTATTTGGTTAATTAGATACTGTAAACATTTGTAACTGTACTGAATGGAAGAGAGATATTCAAGCTAGCTTATCTTTGAATCTGTAAGGTCATTACTTACAATGAGAAAACAAAAAACAAAAACATTGACATACAATTAGTCTCTCTTTAAAAAGGAGTTAAAGAAAAAAACGACAAAGAACAGACCCACTTCGGAAGAATCATAACACACTGACACTACAGGCCTGTAACTAAAATGTGTACCTAAACCTATTTCGGTTGCTCATAAAGGCTGTCAAGCTTTATTAATTGTCACTCATAATCACCTCAAGATGTGCTTGTATAGTGCATTTAGAGGCTTTTACTCCATTGCTTTATCTCACATAAACTCATCACATCTGGCTCATTCTCTGTGCTCTGAATGAAACAAAGGCCGGTCAGTCAGAACATTCAAGGAATCATAACCAGTGCCTCTGTTCTCGCTCCACTCCACACCATCATAGCAAAACTTCATCCCATCGACATGACAAAACAAACCGGAGTACACCGACAAACAAGCTTACGAAACAAAAGCCTGCCTCATTTTAATGTCTGTGGCAGATTTATAAATGAAAATGAATCGATCTAAAAGGAGGATGTCAAAAGCAAAGGATTCAGGCTAGTTTAAAGTTTCTAGTTTTGATTGAGTTTTAATTCCAACTTGCCTTTTAAATCGACTAGCTTTCTAGAAAAACTGATGCAGTGTATTTCAGTTTTTTTTTGTTTAAATGTAGCTTTAATAAAAAAAAAAACTTCATACCGGGTGTGCCTCACACATCCTGAAAAGTGAAGCTGCGGGCTCTTTGATCGCCCCCTGGTGGCTGGCTGCAGTACAGGTCATAAACCCCCGCCCTCTCCATGTAAACGAATGGGACTGGAGTCAAAATAAAAAAAAATTAATTACACTTCCAATACAATTTTCCGAAAGATGGTTTTGGTAATTTAAGGTAGTTGTTATCACGCTACTATTGAACATAGTACATAGTATATGTTCAACTGTTCGTTTTTGTGATAAGTTTGATTTTAGCTAGTAATTTGATGCTATAAAAACGGGGCGTGTCGTTATAGTTGATTGGGTCTGCGGGAGTTTGATACCACGGCTCCACCTTACGACACTACTGCGCAGACTCTGGCTCCAAACGAATCTCTACTGCGCAGACTCGGGCTCCAAATGACGTAATTTACTCAAGATGGCAGTGGCCATACTGAGATGCTTTGGCTTCACTTTTCTATAGTGGAAGGAATAGGAGACGCGTCGTCCATCTTTTTTTTACAGTCTATGGTTTATACCCAGATGAATTCCATGACTGGAACAAAAATAGAGTTAAATTTTTGCATTCAATTTGTCTATTTAAACCAATGGTAAAAAAACGGCAGAGTGATGAATGAAAATGCAATTTCTCTCCATGACAGTAGGTGGCGTTTATGAAAAAGCAAGAAAAACCCCTGCTGTGCTACAGATGCTGTATTGTCTGTAAGTGCCACCAAATCAGTTTTATGTAACAGCAGTGGCTCTGGGCATGTGAATAAAAAGCCTGATTCTTATTGGTTGGCCAGCTTTATTCACAGTGCGATAGATAAGAGATAAATGGATAGTTTACCCAAAAAGCACTATTCTGTCATCATTTACTCACCCTCAATTTCCAAACCTGTATGAGTTTCTTTCTTCTGTTAAACACAAAACATGATATTTCAAAAAATGTTAGTAACTAAAACAGCTAACGATAGTCATTGACTTCCATAGTATGAATAAAAATATCATGGAAGTTACAAACATTTTTCAAAACATATTCTTTTGTGTTCAACGAAAGAAATTCCTACATGTTTGGAAACAACATGAGGGTGAGTAAATAATTTAATTTTTCTATCCCTTAAGAACACCTATCCGTAAAAAAAAATCTGTCATATAGACAGCATGCAAATGTTTGTGTCAGCTGTTTAATCAAAGTCAAATGTTTATCTCACTGAATGTCTGTCTTGGTGTAAACAGGCCTAAACACACAACCTTGTAAAATGAACCTCAAATGAAATGACATCCATGAAAGTGCATACTGGTTAAGACCAAACCTAATTAAAAGCGTAAAAGCTAATGTTAAAAACTACAAATAAGAGGTCCTTTCATTTATCATACAGTCTTCTTTATCTTGATACTCACAATAGACCTGTAATTAGAAAGTGTTTTATTTGAAAGTATGTAACAGAATGCGTTTAATGAGATGATCCTCCTTTTTTTCAATTAAAAAAATTGCGTTGTGCTTTGAAAGCGTTTGATATAATTTAGCACTTGCTTAACTTATATATACATATATCTATGGAAGTGAAGCATTCTGTACTGCCCCAATCACAGAAAAGCTCCTCCAGGACACATGGGCAGAAGGCACTTTTAAACCAATTCCTCTCCAAGTATGTCTCATTTAAGTACAGTTTCTTAGTCAGCAAACATAACATTGCTATCTGGTTCTTTCTTGATAAAAAGCATTTGATCACTCACTAAAAATATATGTTTTTTATCCAGCTGACTGTATGATGTACATAACATATGTATCATCTGACTTTATGAGTCACAGCAAAGCTGAGGTCACAGGATGAAACACTAAGGGGTGTACAGTTACAAAACGCCCAACAAACATTAGGACTCATTTCCTATTACAAACATAACCTATTCCACTTGATAATCTCCTCGAAAATCTATAATCATATCCTGGTTTATATCACAAAAGTGTTTTCCATTTCATTTTTGCTTGTGCCTGTCGAATAACCTGCTTTGCCTCTTTAAACCTTTCTAAGTGAGTGAAAGCTCCTGTGCACGTTGTTGCTTTGGGATCACCTTTGTTCTGCTCTGGATCTTAACAGTTCGCTATAGCTATGCATCATTCTCACGTTACAAGATTCAAAAATAAAGCACCAGGAAGCACCAATACCAGCCCCCAGAAACCATTAAGATGCCAGACTTCCAACTCTGTGGTGTACCATCTCAAAGAAAAGCACACAATTGTTGATGGCTATTTATTCTGACCATGACGACTAGCTTTAAAGAGGACTAAAAGGACTTCAGTGTCCCTCGACCACGTCTGATATAAAAAAAAAGGTTTGTTTCACATCTACTATAGGACAACTCACATAAAGAGGAATCTATATGGTTGGCAGAAGCGAGCTACCAAACAAATACACAGTGACATAACAGCTAAAAGATTGATTATCAACAGCTGCATCTTTCGGTTAATTCCTCATCTCGTGTCCTCAATGAAAATATCCAGGACTACAACACCAATCACGTGACGCTTTTCTCTCTCTTGTGTTGGGACAACAAATACAGAGTAGCTGTGATCTCACTGTAATTACTGCAGTTTACTTTGATTGATACGGAAAACTATGGGCTTACAAAAAAGGCCGTATGTTTACTTACGATAACATACTGTGCTTATCTGTTTTCTACGATAAACTTAAAAGTTCGGTGTTAGTATAGTTTGCTCCGTATAATGTGCTTAATCATGCTTTATATGTGTGTCCTGGGCCATCTCTTGTGGCGGTGCTCATCTAGGCTGCTGTGTGAGGACCGGATAGGCCAGGGTTACATTCAGTGAGTCATTGTGCTGGACCAGAGAGGTGTGTTTGTAGTGCAGGACCAAGTCTTTCAAGGAACCGTAAAGGTTGTAGGGCTCAGCAAATCCAAAACCGGTGGCCGTCTTGTAAACCACACAATGTTTGATCTCTCCATCCACGCTGTAGGAAAAGAAGAAAATGTGTTAAGCGACAGTGAGATACTAAGGAAGTGCAGGCCACAGCTTGAGAAAAGAACTTGACGATTCCAGTTCCTCTTAACACTTCTGGTTCCTTAATGACTCCATTAATGAGTCATTCAGTACTTCTAAGGAATCAATACTTAGAAAAAAGGAACTGATTTTTAAAATCAAAATTAATATTTTTCAAGACCTTTTTTAAGTCCTGCACAAATAAAATACATACTGTATGTCTATATAGAACAAACCGATACAATCACAAATTGGTTAGTAAAAATCGGTTTGCACTAATATATCAATATACATTAGAGGTTGATCAATATTGAATTTTGCTGATAATGTGTTTAAAGCAGTGTTTCCCAACTGGGGTGCCGTCTGTCGAGAGCAGGGGTGCCATGTAAAAAAATATTTTTAATATTTTTAAATTGCTAAAATGTTCAAAAAAGCAGCTATTATATAATATCCCTTTCTGATGTCGCCAATAATTAGAGAGGCACCTCAGTCGTGGTATTGAAGGTGAGAGAGAGCGCTGTACATTCACTCCCCCCACCTACAATCCCTGCCGG